ACACAAAATTTTTAGAGACGTTTTTTTTTAAAAAAAAAAAAAAAAAAAAAAAAAAAAACATTTTCGTGGTTAAACATTAGAATATGTACATGTCAGCCATAGTACACTAAAAGTGTCATTATCCCACAACCACAAAGATTTTCTCTTTGCTGAGCTAATTCCAAATCTACATGAGCCAGGAGCTCACTGCTTGTGCATCAGCCATGCATGTGAAAAATAAAGGCTGCATTTTTTTAATTCAATAAATAAATAAATACACACATTGTATACTTACAAGTATACTTTAGAACATCATCAAACAAACAAATGCTACAGTTTGTTTGCAGGTTGTGTGTGTGTGTGTGTGTGTGTAAATTTGTGGCTTATTTTACAATATTACTAAATTTTACTTAAACTATCAAATTTTAACTGTTCTTGTCAAGTCTTCAATCACAGCAAGCAACACAGTTCACAAAATAATATAACACTTATACTAATATAAAATATATCAAGTGTCACAATAACTTGTGGATATTATATGGAGCTTTGACCCCAGTGTGGTTTCTGTTCAACACAGTAAACACAAAATTCATCTTTCACAAAACAATCAGTCAATCAAAAACATGCTGCACACGGACATTCGATACATAGTACTGTAGGCCATAACTATTTAAAAAGCTGTCCTGGTCAATAATGATAGGGCCTCATGTACTGTAGCATTCATTATTGTTAAGAAACAAAATCAGACCTTTTATTGCAAACAAAGTGCTTTGAATAACATTTCAGAGCAGTCATTTCAGTCAATAAATAATGATTAGCAGAACACCTTATGGCAACATTCCACATATAATAAAAATATAAAGATAAACCAAAATAGTTGCATCACATAGAAGTTAGCCACATGACACATGTCTATGAAACCTCCAATATGGAACACAACAGTGGCCAAACAGTTACAGCACAAGCCAAACAGCTGCATTGCCAACAAGACGATTCTACCAAAAATGGTCTTAAAGCTTTGACTGGCAGTGTGTGAGACATTCTGTGTGATTTACAGCATCAGTCAGGATTTTGTACATTCTGCCAAACAGCAATGTCAGGCATCAGTCTGCAGATTTTGTCAAAATATGATCAGTGGCAACTAAAATATGTGTTACAGATAATGTGTGGGATGAACAAACTAGTGCTGATACAACATTGAGCTCATCAGTGGAACAGATTTGTTCAACAAAAGAGCAAAGATTTCTTATGGAGCTTTAGCATTTCAAAGCAAATTCAATGAACACACTGTCATGTCTAGTTAAAGACTAGGCTCAGCTCTGATTAAAAGCACAGATGCTTTTTATGTAAATTCTTTGAGCCATTATATTTTTCTTAATACATAAGTGGCCTTGAGCCACTTTATGTGCTGTTGTCGTTAGCTCCCTCGTTGTCTGAATTGTGGCTGCCTGAGGCAATTTGCCTGTGAGACGATAGGAAAGTCAGTTGTATCATGCAAGTGTTATTTTCTAATTCGCTCTGTGTGTCTGAACTTCGACAACATCCTTTCAGACCCTGGTGACGATGAATAGTAAACAGACCATAAGTGATGGGATCTAGACAGGCGTTGAAGAGGCCAAAGATAAACAGCATATGAGTTAGTGAATGGGAGACCGTCTTCTCCATTTTTTCAGAGAACAACCAATACCACAGGCCTAGCAGGTAGTATGGGGTCCAGCAGATGATGAATGATGTCACAATGACAATGCTCATTTTAAGAGTTCTCATCCGAGCTTTCGGGATGTTGTTGTGGGAGCGACGGAGATGAACGTCTCTAGATACCACTGGAAGAGAAGAAAGCACCGTCTTTGTCATGCACAACTCCTTGTGTGGTGGTGCATCAGATTTAAAAAGAAAACATCAGACTTACGGTTACTCCGGGCCATGCGGCTGGATATCTCAACAAGTATCCGTGTGTAACAGAAGATCATGATGACCAAAGGCAGGAGGAAGAGGCACACAAAGGTGAACATGTTGTAGAGGATCTCCTGCCAGTGCTGGACAAAACTGCCATAGGTAGTGCACTGGGTGAAGTTCTCTGGGACAGTGATGGTCACATTGTGAAATATAAACATCTGTATGAAAGGAAGAATAGTTTTGCTTAGTGGTGACAATAAATCAGTTAAACAAAATGGAGACTTTTCATCCACTACTCTTCCATCCACCAGTCTGTGACCGGGACATTAGCTGAGGTGGTGGGAGTGTAGGTTTCCTGTCCCCCCAGAAAAGGAACTCTGCAGCAGGAGGTGTCGCAGTCAGAGTCCCTGTGACCTGAGGCTTCTGTCTCTGTCCCAGGAGTCAGGTCACCAGTTGCTGAGCTGTACAGCAGCTGAGCAACTTTAAACCAGGAACAGTGCATCTGCCCAGGTAAACATGGGTAAGTCCACTGAATGAGCAACACACTTCTGTTTTTCCTCTAGGGTGACTCATATGTTAGGAAATATCAAGCTCACACATTCTCAGGACATTAAATAATTTGAAGGTTTAAAGGATAAGACTGGTCATTTTCTATATTAAGAGATTTCAACAATCCCCATACAGATACTAAAAACCAACGATGATTTGCTTCTACGCATTGTGGTAGGTTGACTCTGAGCGGCCAGGAATGTAGGAGAGACTCGAAAAAGACATCAGGTTTTCTCAAATCAGTCATTTATTTTAAACAAGTGCCAGCAAAGCACACATGCCAAACAAAATCACTAAACAAACTAAATGGTTTGTTTGAATCATGCGTCAATGCACTGTTACTGTTCAGAACACAGTCTAAGAGCAAATAATAAGTAGTATGGAAGCCAGTCTGCTTTCTAGTGATACAATGCAGCCTTTGTTTTGAAACTTAAAATGACAAGAGTGTTTTATTTAGGATGTACTGAAAACACAGCAGCAGGAGCCACTAAAACTGAGTTGTGTTCTATTCTGACTCTTTACCATAAAATGAGAAACCTTCAAATATTTGTGTCACTGTCTTTCCTGTCACTTTTCCCAGGCAACTCAGTTTACACTCTCAGGATCTAAATCCAGACTGTGCCAGATGGATTTTGAAAAAGTCTAAATCAGGGCACATCACATATCACTGTTGTGTCATGAAATCTGGAATGTTTCTTGTTTCTGTACACAATATATTCACAATCCTGAATATAATGGCAATGCATGTGAGCGTTTCTGTACACAATGGTCCTGAATATAATGGCAATGCATGTGAGCACAGTGTGAATTAGCAAACAGCGGCAGAGGTTGAAATTTTAAATCCACAGACTAGTTGCAAAGATGTAGGTACAAAAGGTGATGTCTATAATGTATAATTGGTTTAATTTGGCAATTCAAAGTAAAAGGTTTTCAAGTAAATCTAAGTGTAGGAACTGCCAGCCTGTCCTGATGAACTGCTGCAAAGATCCAGATCAGTAGCTCAGACCACTCGTGGAAAATGTCTAGAGCTCTTCAAAATGCCCGAGCCTTACACTTACAAATGCACTTAAAAGGAACAGAATAATAATGTATTCAAAAATAAATAATAAAATAAAAATGCACAGTATGTTTCAAGGTCTTGTCCTTCCATTTAGTGTCCTTATTTTCTGTTCACAATGTGAAATGTGAGGCAATTTGACTCAAATAGACTGATAACTGTTATCCCACCGATTCTAAAGCCATTTACAAACTGTTATTTCTTACCATACTGACCATATTGGTTTTGTGTTTATTTGTTTGTTTTGTCCTATACTGAATATATGTGTGTCAGTTGAACTTTTTATTACCTTTCATGTTTTTGGTTTGTGAGTCATCTCTCTCAATTTCTTATTTTACAAAGGGCCTCTGCATTGGGAAACCACAGGCTATCATTCTATATAGCCTGTTTTATTTTTGTTTTTGGAAATTTGCTATATATGAGAAGAGTTTTCTTGCTGAGAATTATATACCAAAAAATCAAAATGTGTTGTCTCACCTGAGGGAGTGAGAGAATCACACTCATCGTCCAGGCCACAGTCAACATGATTTTGCTCTTCCTTTTGGCTTCACTGATGCCCAAAGGATTGAGGATGGCAGACTGTCTATCCAAACTAATGACCACCGTGACAAAAGCGCAGGAGTACATCGCCACCAGTTTCAGGAACATCAGCAACCTGCAGGCGACGTCTCCCGCCTGCCACTGCACCGTGATGTTCCACACTGCGTCCACGGGCATCACAATAAAGGTCACCAACAAGTCTGCCACAGTCAGGTTCATTATGAGGATCCTGACGTGTGACTTGCGCTTGCCACCGTTGCTGGCAGCCCACAGCACAACCAAGTTGCATACAGCTGACACTGCGCACAGAGTGAAGGTGATGATGACTCTGATTTTGGCCGCGGTGGAGAAAGTGGGAAGCTGGGGTGTGTCTCCATCAGCGCTTTTATTGCACATTGGGGTGTGCCCCTGGCAGCTGCCATTCACTTTGTGATCCGTCAGCTGGTGGAACATAATGAACACCGGAGTTTGACTGACAGCACCACAAATAAAAGCAAGCAGGCGACAATTCCGGCCACTGCTAGACTCTTTCCTTGTCTCCAACTGGATTGTAAACTGTGAAAATTAAGAAGAACAAAGCAAAACAAAATATCTGTCGAATTTCTTAATGCTCGACTGGATTTGTGGAGCAGATGTTTGCATTACAGGCTACAGCCTACATCCTTTATACTCCTCTGTAGGAATTATATGCATTAATAAATGTACCACCGCGTGTAAAGCTTCTATTTGGTATCCAGGAGCGTGCAAAGTGATCGTCACAGTGTGACAGTCATGGCACTAACGTTAAATTACAAACGGGAAAAAAGAATAGGAAGTGTGAGAAACCAGAAAACAGCACAGGTAGAAAAAATACCAGCAATAATAGCATAACAGTGTAGTAATTTGCTGAACTTCTAACCATTATTCTCTTTTAATTTTTTCATCTTTTTTTACATTTTTGCTTTTCCACATTCACTGTTTTCACTAATTAAATGTACTTTGCCCACAATAGTTACAAAGGAAAAAGAGAAGAAGAAGGTAATCGGGCTTAAACCAGTTTCCGACCGAAGATGAAACATCTTACCTGTACAGTAGCTGCAGAGCTGTGGACGCTATAGTGGGAATCTCAGTGAGCATGTTTCCAGTGAGGTCACTGCGGCTCTTGCTTCAGTCCGCTTCATTCCTCCGCCCTGTTGCGCTCTGACGCACATAAGAGAACATTCCCATAAACACTAATAAAATGTAAGTATTTGTTATTCGCTGGAGGCAGTTTCAAGTAGCGCTCAATCACTTACTCAGTTACTTTTTTGCTTCTATGACTCGATCATTTGCAGCAAAATATTCCTCAAACACTAGGATGATAAGAAACTTCATATTTAACTCGTTACTGATAATGTCAGACTCTGAATCCTGGTCATGCTTTCTGATAGCCTGCAGTATTTTAAAGATGTTTGACAGGTTCATCATGTGTCAGCTGATTTAAGGACAACTGATTTATTGCTAATTTAATTGGGATTATACTCCACTAGTGAACTCCAGCGACACCTGTCCTGTAAAGGGTCCCTGTGCTGATCTGCTTGTGCATTTGCACCGTGTTATTAGAATTGGGTGTAAGGGTAGGGGATGTCCTGTCATACATACATTATAAAGCCCCTGGAGGCAACTTTGTGATTTGTGATCCTGGGCTTTAAAAATGTATTAAACATCACTTAACTAAATAGATGTGTCAGAAAGCAGGTGTACTGCATATACTGTAAACACCCCACATTCGCGATTCAAATGTAGAATGACATTAAAAGTAGGGTTGACAATTCATTTCAGAAGCATTTTTGTTACAGTTCTTGAACTTCTCTCTTCATCCTGATGGCAATGAATATTAAGCGCACAGACAACATAAAGAAAAAAATCCATCGTCTGTGGCAGCAGCAGGGTTGAAAAAAGCCTGACCAGTAAGTTTACTTGGTCTGAACAAAACCTTTGAATGGCCTACCTGCCACTCTGCCCTTGCACTCATCACATGAGCCAAGAGTCTCCCACAAGGCCAGGCAGGCAGACATGTTATTGGTTTGTTTTTACAGCTAAAGCTAGCGAGCAATGGCAGAGAAGGTACCCACAGCAGCTTTTGTTTGCAAATGGGAAATCATATTCGAGGATGTTAGAACCAAAAGGAAGTTTGATGCTGCAAGAAGTAAAAGCAGAATTAACATCGGTGTGGCTTTTGAACAATGGTGACAATTGAGAAAACGAAGAGGAGCTGAAAAGTGAAGTGGTGGACACTGTGGGCTTATGTGCATTGGTTATTAGATTAACAGCTGAGACCATACTGATCTCCTGGGGTTGCTGTTTCTCATTATCTTGAAGCAGTGGAAGTGTTCATCAGTGATGACACATTGTACTGGGTCATTTATTTCAGCTGCAGTAAACACACATCTTGAAATGAGAAACTTATTTTTAGTCCTCAGGGTGTTTTCAGGCAGTGTAAACAATCATGTTTGTGCCTGGATCACTGTGGTCACATAATGCAGTAGTTTTGAAGAGGTTTGATGGTTGTTTATATGAAAGAAGAGTGGTGAAGTGTGTCAGCCATACACGCAAACAGCAAGACAGGGTCAGAGAAGGAGCCAGAAAAGGGAGAACACTTTTAGATTTTCATCTCAGTGGATCAGTAAAAGTGCTAGGACCACCCTGTCTGCTAGAAATTACACTTATATAGCTCTGATTTCTCAGTTATGTTTCAAGGGAGCTCTCATTTCTTTAAGGCTCATGTTCGATGGCAGTGTTTTTACACCGAGTTATAGGGAAGTGGTTTGGTTTGAAAGTTGAGACAGTTGATTGAGGGTCACACCCTGATCCCAGCATGCAGTTTTGGTTCGCACAGCAAAGGCACTTTGGTTAAGAGTTGGAAAAGACAGTAGTTTTGGTTGAATGTTAAAAAGTGTCTGGTTCTGTCTCCTGTTTTAAGCCACTTTTGACATTTGGTTTCTTGCTGAGAGTTAGAGAAGATTGATGCTACTCTCATAACTTATCAGAACCTGAGGTCTGATGTTGAGAAAGACATGTCACCCATAGGTGTGAGAAGGGGATTGCTTTTTATGCACACATACAAATGTATATAGGAAAGGAATAGGATTAGCCTGTTGAAGATGGAGCCAGTAGCATTACAAATATTACAGTAAGTGTGTGTTAGGTTTGCTCGCACACGGGAAGTGAGTGAGCAAAAAAAAAGAATGGCGGACCCAGGTAGCTTATTTTGTACAGTGCATCGAAATGGCAAGACACAAACAGGCGAAGAAAAACTGAGTAACTGGGTGTCGACCAGCAGCAGCAACCGTGGAGTGATGGGATGGATGGGGTAGGCCGAGCTGCGTTGCTGGGGTCACTCCTGAGCTGGTCGGTGGCAGACAGAGGTTACTGAGGAGATAAGAAGACAGGAGTTTTGTACTGATGGCAACTGGTGACCGCGCATCGACCTGTCTGGTGGAGACTGGAAGGGTTGAGTAGATCCAAGGTCCGGAGGTAGTACTGTAGTCCGTGGTGGAAAGGAACAGCCTGGGAACAGAGTGGCAACGGGAGAGTACGACAGCAGACGAGGAGTACTGGAATTCAGACAATACACAAAAATACTGTTGTGGAAGCCTGTGAACAAGATCAAACTGGCAAGGGAGTGATAGGTGAGCAGGGTTTAAATAAGGGCAGAACTAATGAGGTGCAGCTGGTGACAATCAAGGGATGTGCAGCAGGTGTGCCAGGTGGTGCAATCATGGGCCGAAGACGAGAAACAACAGTGAGGGAGGTGAGAGAGACCGGTGCAGCCGGGCAAACCTGACAGTGTGATACCATGTTCACAAGAATGGGACAAATGGACAGACAGACAGACAGACAAGCTGAAAACCTCCTGTCACCAGCACAGAAGCATAAAAATGAAAATATATGTGTTTTTAATGGCATCCAGTATATTCATAAAATGTGACAACTAATTTGATTCAACTGCAACATGCTACATAAAAACTAACATGAGGGTTTTACACATTACATTAGTTTATATATGTTAATAATAAAACATAACAAAGTTTAACCACCCAGAAAACAGGTGCTTTGTCCTTAAGCTGGATGAAAGTGTTCTGGTCCAGAGGAAGGGGGAGGACAGGGTGGATGGACACGTGTGCTTGTGTGTCTCCATCACACACAGCTCACTGCACATATTTTTTTATTTTCAAATTTTGTCATAATCAGTTTTGTGAGAGAAGAGCTGAAGAGAAGGATGACCCCAGGGGTTATCCATGCTTTGACCACTGTTGTTTCATATGCCTGTTTTTTCTCAGTGTGTGATCCCATGCTGCTGTGGGGCATAAATTTTCTCCTGCTCCATCTCCTGTGTCACCATTTGGTCACACTGTCATGCCTCCCAAATGGTTTCAGGTCATGCATAATAAAACGCAATCCTGATAAGAGATGTCTTGGAATGTGCTTTTGGATCTTGCAGATCAAAGGTCTGGAGGAACCTGCATTTATGGAGAGGAAGCAAAGTGAAGAGCCTTGGTGGTTTAGCTTTGTGCTGAAAATTGGGTGTGTAGTACATGGTCTGTCGGCCTTGTTGGTCCTACACCTTTATGTAAAGAGATGAAAAGTTAGACCATGGAGGTGGGGGCGGCGGATGGGCGTGTAGCAACATCTGACTTTAATGCAGGAAGTCAGTGGTTGTGCCCCGTCACACACCGTGATCTGACATTTACTGTAAAAGTGTTTTGTTGCTCAGCCCCAAATCATAACTTAACTATAGTTTATTTTTCATCAGCACAGTTTTTCTCAAACATAACCATGTCATTTCCATAATAAAGGAAACTAGAATTTTATAGACACTGCTACTGGAGGTTTAAAAACTGTTTTCACTGAACTAATCCATGGGTTAGAAAGGGTTAAGCTGAGGCAGAGGTGTGAAGTCATGTGTTTCATTAAGAGATATAGCAAGTGGTTACACAATTAGCCTCTGCTCTTTGAGGGTGTTCTTAATGAATCCCAGAAGCAATGAGGATTCTGCTAAGGGAGCTAATCTCCCCTCAAATTAGAGGCATATATCTTATGTGATTTGTGTTAATGTGAACAGTTTTTTAATGTAGTTTAAATGCACAATATACACAGAGTTAGTAAAAATGCTGATGTCATTAATATACTGACTTTAATAAAGTTGCTTCATCTCAATTTCTATGCCTTTTCATATAGGCTCTAATTAGTTTATAGTGGTACAGTTACTGTGTCGATTGGGTTTTCACAGATCTAAATACCAAGCAGTTCACTTACAAAAAGTGCTTGGAAAAAGTTGTGAAGTTTTTAAAGGTTTCTCTAAATTACAGTTTTAGAGTAGCATGTATGTGGGGATGCAGAACCAGCCATTTCCCACTGCGGTTACTCTCTGCTCTCACTTGTGTTTGTCTGTCATCTTCACAGTGCTGTGTGTGCAGTAATCAACTTGCCAGTATTCTTTACCATACTATGTGTGGCACCTTGGCTTTGGACAAATATTCTGACACTTGGGAAATGAGTCACATTTAAATCAATTCTTCCGTGCTTTGGTATGAGCCAAAAATTCTAATGTGTGCAAGTTGACAACCTCTGTTGTTACTAATCCCTTTCCATACAGATCATGCTACCAAACAACACCAAATCAAAACAACATGGACCATTGTCCAAATTGTAAATAATGGATGTCTGGGGCATCTGGGCAGATGGAGCAGGTTCACTAAGCGGAGGAGGGCTCAAAAAGCAGTGTTGTTTTAGACACAGCTGCCCTCCTGTGGATATTTTTAGAAATGACTTTGTGTGCTACCAGCAGCAAAAACTGAGCCTCTATGTTTCATAAGAGTTTATAGATACAGTATGTTGCATATACTCCTATACACTGCAGCACATATAGTACATGTACTGCATTAGAGTCCTATTCCCTGCCTCCGCTCCAACAACACCAGCCATGACACATTCCATCTGCAAAACAAAAATCTACATTCATTATGCATGCTATTCATTTTTCTTTCTGCTTGACTTTGATCACAGTGAAATCCATCATAATAACAAAATACTTTACAGTGCTCATGTGAGAAAAGACGC